TCTCATGCATAAAATCACCATTTCACAAGTTAAAATATTTATCAAATAACCCATTTATTAGTTATTACATTAACTAATCAATTTTCAAATTTCTTTAAAATAGTAATAGTCTCATGCTCTAGAAATATATTTGCAAATAAATTTAAAATAATAATAATAAGAAGTAATTGTTTAGAACCTGATTTTGATGGTCTCCTAAAGTTGGTGAAAAGAGCTGCAAAACATGGCGGACCCAAGTCCTAGAAGATCAATTGATTCTGGTGCAATCTCTAAATAGGATGAAGTGATCAAAAGAAAGAGTAACAAGATTTGGTTGTGGAAAAAAAATGGCTCTCGTATGTATGTTGGGGAGTGGGAACAACCGAGAGCCAGATGAGGAAAGGGAAATTGAGGAGTGGGGACAAAGGAAGTAAATGATAATTGGATGAAGTGATAAAAAGAAAAAATAGTTGGCTTGGGTATGGAAGAAGAGGAGCCGGTTGTGAAGGGAAATGGGGGACCACAGGAGTAAAGGGAACTTGGGGAGTGGGGACCAGAAGAAATGACTGATATAATTGGTACTTGGCCCTGTTGGTGGGAAAATGAGAACTAGAGGAGGAAAGTGAATGATATAAATTTTGTGACCTATTCTTTCACATTTTTTCTAAAAAAAATTCTGGGGGCACCTTTTAAATTATGTAAAAATTGTAGATGTATTATAGGAATTTACGGGCCCCCACTGCCCCCACTTTAAATCCGCCCCTGATGGAGAACTAAGGTTAATAACCGGACCAATTCACATGAAAATGCCAATAATCATTCCCTATGCCTAGAAAAGTTAACCAAAAATTATAAGAGTAAAACAATCATCGATATTCACCAAAGAGATGTTTTTTGATTCAACCACATTAACTTGATACATTCTTATTATTAAAACTTGGCAATAGTAGAAATAGAGGCAACAATCCAACATCAAACCTTGGCATGCACATGTGAGATAATCACTAAAAAAAAAAAAGAAAGAAAATGCACGAAAGATGGCCAAGTAACAATAATAAAGGAAAAACTAGAAACGCTAGCACCCCCATTTGTTCCCTCCCCCCCCCCACCTAAATCCTACATTGTCCTCAATGGAGGTAATAAAGTAAGTAAAGCGAAGAGAACAATGAAACTTCCCTGTCGAATGGCTAAGGGATAGGAGGGAACAGTGGAGTGAAATCGATGTGATGGAGTACGCGGCCAAATTCTGAGACATCTCAACCCAATTCAACCAGTAAATGCAAAACTCTGTCCACCCAAAATCTCAACAAAGTCTCCAATTGGACAGTGGATATCTCAACTCAAAATCGGCAATTCCAGCAATAGCAGTTTAGAAATTTGACAATAATAACTCAATTACAAACTCTTAGCTATCAGGCAGGCAACCAACCCAATATAAGCAACAAAATCAAGGCCAATTACTCCAACCAGTACCACTGGTGTGCCACACAGTTGATGTAAAAATCTCAAACGGTCAACCCAAATCACTTGATATTCCAACCAATAGCAAACGACACCAGAAATAAAAAGGAATCAAAATGGCAACCACCGTGCACAGAACTCCCAAACAATTCCCAAATAATAGGCGTAAAATCAAGCAAATCAATCCCACTAGTGCAATACAGGGCAACCAAGTAAGCAAGGGCAGCAAGAAATTAAAATACGATAGTCCAGAAAATGATGTCCCAGAAAATGAACTAGCGATTGGGAGCATACAATACCTCTACCTGTCAAAAATTTTGACAAGTAACGACGGTGCGCACGGCAGCGGAAAAAGGAGAGGTGGTGGAGCACAAGCGTCACAAGAGGGAGAAGAGCCTGGCGTGTGCCACGGTTGGAGAAGGCGGCGCGCGACAGAGGGGGGCTCGACAGCTGCGAATGCTTGCTGGGTATGCGCGATTTGGGGCCGCGCGGCTGCTGAAGTGAGATAGGCGCGCGATGGTGGGTGACGGAGGCGAACGCGAGACTAGATGGAGGAAGAGTGGTGGTGGCGTTTGTGAGCTGGTGGAGCGCGTAGCCGCTACCGTGGAAGAGCTGGGGGCCGCGAGGAGCTGGTGCAAGGACTGGCGTGCTCTGGAGCGGAGCTTGAGCTGAGGTGGAGGCGGCGGTCTCTGTGAGGAAGGAGAGAGGTAGCGAGTTCCGATGGTGGAGATAGAGTGAGAGTGCGTGGGGAGGGATGGCGGCCTGCGAAGGAGCCTCGGTCGACACAGAGGAGAACAGGGGAGAAGAAAGAAAGAAAAAGAAAGAAAAGAAAGAGGAGGGAAGAAAGAAAAAGAAAAAAAAAAGGAAATAGTTTTTTTTTTTTGCTTTTCCGTTTTATTTTTTTTTCTCTTTTTAGAAATTTTTTTTTTACAGGAAGACTCTCCCCTTTTTTAAAAAAAATTACTAAAAAAAATTTTTTTGAATTTTTTTTATACATATAACTTTTTTTATTATTGACAAAATTTATTTTTGAAATTCAAAAGTAGAGATTAATAGAAAATCAATAATCGTTCTTGAGTTTTTTTGAATACTTACCTTTCCCGCGAACATGACGCAGGCACGTCATGAAGGCACGAAATCTAGAGCTTTCCAGGTTACTTGACGCTGGCACGTCATGAGGGCAAGATCCCCTTCTGACGATTCTGACCGTGAGCTCTTCATACGTCATGACGCAGGCGCGTCATGTCACAGGGATGCCTGTGAATCATCAAAAATGAAAATTGAAGCAAAAAATCAGTCAAATCCAAGGAAAAAAAATATATTTAAACTAACGAACAAAAATGAACAAATAACTAAAAGAAATTGGGTTGCCTCCCAATGAGCGCCTTTCTTTAATGTCTTTGGCTAGACATTTTCATGTTTTGTTCATGGAGGATAAAATCTTGTGCTTCGTCTTAATGTTTCATTCTCTATATAGTCCTGATAGCCCTCGTAAATAGAGTAATCCTTGAGCACACGAGTTACGGGCTTCCATGGACTAGTAAATGGCGCCAAACAAGTCATCGATAATTTGCATTCTCCACTCACTCCTCCCTCACATGCATTTATTGGTCCAAGATATCTTGCTATCGCCACTCTTAATTTATTCCTGTCATGAAATTCAAGATTTTCTGGTATAATAAAATCAATTTCATTAACAGGAATTGAAGAATAAGAGTCAAGAGAATATTGATTAAGGAATGGAGGAGATGTCACCGCATTTGGAGGTTGTTCACTGGATTCATTCACTTGGACGGGTTGATATTGGGGGCTCATTTTTTGCACATCAACTTCCTTTTCAACTGCATCTTTAGATTCGTCTCCTTGAAACTCTTGCAGTTCCATGTCATTTGGCCGGATAATTGCACTCTCATTTTCTTCAAGGTTGATATTGGTTTGTGAGGGCAATTCTTTAAGGTGAGAAGCTAATCGCGCTATCCTGGATGTCAATTGGTTCATTTGATCCGCCAGGTTACGCATACTCGCTTGTGTTTCCTGATGAAATCGATATGTATTAGTAGCAAATAATTCAATCAATTCCTGAAGAGACATACCTGACATGGATGATGGTTGTTGAGACTCTTGCTGTTGAAAATCCATTGGCCCGGTCGCATAATTAAAATTGGAATTATCCTACTATCCTTGATCATACCTGTTTGGGTAAGGGTCATACCACGTTTGAAATCGAGGTGAAAAATCTCCAAAAGTATCAATTTGAGCACTTAGATTATCTTGAAATGCGGGGCATGTGTCGGTTGAATAAGCTGACACTACAACAAAAATGGCCTTTAGCGGCATTTAAAAGTGTCAGTATAGACAATTTAACCTGACATTTTATCTATCTTCACACCTAGGGCGAGTGTTGTCCCTTCCAATGTGGGGATAGCCTCAAATCTTTAGCAACATTCAAACGTGTCAGGAAAATCATGCTGCTATAGCATTCCCTCTGCCAACAAAAACTTTTTTTTGTGATAATCGAAAGTGTCCGTATAGCATTAGAACATCAGTAGCGGATCAGTAGTATATCCAATTTATGAAGGCATCTTTAGTTGTCTTAATATATGACTTTAAGGACATGTAGCCATGTGAATTTACACTGCTTTGGACGACATGCCCATTTGTCATTAGTGTTTTTCGAAGTTAAGCTATGCTGACACTTTTAATTGCCAGGAGTTTTTTCCCTGTTTTTTTTATATGGAAGCAACCTGCAATTAGTCCTCCCTGCTGTACATTCCATCAACCAGAATCCCAAGGGACTTGTAAAATTATCTCAAAGAGCAGAATGCATATAGCAATTTAAAAGAAGAAGTCGATACTCAAATATAATTCATTGAATTAAAAGTCGATAACAAGTACAAACATAGCAAGTACTAAAATCACAAACAAGTGCTCAAAGCAAGTACTAAAATCCCAATAAAGTACCGAAAGATTCTCATTTACAATAACTTGAAAGACTTTCTTGTGCACAAACAAAAAGACTCTCATCCCTAACAAGTTGAAAGAAATGCTAAAAGTCAGGTAACGTAATTGTACAATATTATCAACGATCCGCGAGAGGTATAGTATATATATAGTACATTGTTTGGGCTCATCAAGATGAAACAAACAACTACCACTGCCCATGTTGATGTATGCTCAAGAGTTGTCTCCTCATTTCCACTTCCTTCAGCCATCTCTAGGTGGAGCAGTCCGGCTATGCTTTAGTAGAGATTAGTGCCAATCCTTCAGAAGAAGAGAAAACAGCCGAGAAATTGAAGGGATGAAGAAAAGTGTATACAGTGATCTGGGGAAACAGAAATTTTTTTTCCAATTCTTGAGCATTTGAGATTGGAAAATGATAGGAAAAAAATTGCAACAATAATAATATAATAACACCCCAGGAAATAGTTTGCGTTCAAGCAATTCAACCTACTAGAAATCATGTCATGCTAGAAATATAGCCTTTGGTCTATCAAATGCGATGGAAAAAATTATAGATATTGGACATAACTATGTACTACAATTTCCTACTTGACAAGGTGTGTGGGACATGTGTCCAAGTCTCTGCCTCAGCTGGTCCTCACTTAAGTCAGTGCTAAACAAGTCATCATTATTTTTGAAGCCAAATCAATCATTGAAGCAGTTTTGGGGAGCGTAGCATTGTACTCCCAATCACTAACTGGTGCCTGAACAGCCAACATTGTCAACAAGCTGAAACTAAAGCTCGTCGTCCAGGCAACATTACATACAGTAGTGATCACAGTACCAACACTGTCAAGTAATGCACTGAACAAAAGACAGTATGACTAAGCAGATTAATCATTCTCCTTTAAACATCAGATAATATATATTATGTTTGACTAACTACAAGGGGCATTTGTCACGACAAAAGGGACGAGTGTGGATGCAGACACAAAAGTGCACAGATTCAAGAGCTCAGAGGCATGAGAGATTCTTAAATTTCTCTCTTTTATAAAAATGATGGTAGAAGCACCAGTATGATCAGCCAGAACAGTGTTCGATACCAAGCATCCCTTAAGCTAAAGAATCATATGCTAGCAAAATTTAATCTTATTTCACACAAACATAACCATAGATGTTGTCCAAGTTCAAAGTTTTAAACTCGTACATCAGATCAAAGCACTTCTTCGAAATCAGATTAAGGGATCATGCAAAATCAGGTCAGAACCTCACCAAAGGCAACCACGACAAGGAGACAAATTAAAGTTTCGATAATTCGAACAAGAGAAGGTTGAGACATATAAAAAGTGGACGAGTTCAAATAACTCACCCTGGCCATGTTAAAAGATGGAAATCTTGAAAATGCTTTGGATAGAACATCATCATTCACCTCATTACCAAGATCACCACAGAATAAACGAGAATCATCTGCACAACACAAACAGTAATACTGAAGGCATTAATACTAGCAAAAACAAGATCAGTGAAGGAATTAAGATAGGCGAAAATTGTCATAAAAAATGATGAATGCAACCACACAAGGAGTAGAGTACATGAAACTCACTCTCTGGCCAATCTGCAAGTGTAGGATCCTCCCATGCCTGCCCTGCTGCCTTACGAGGTACTGCTTTCTTCTTAGTCTCGGCCTTGTGCTCAATCTCACTACTTGCAAGCGCAGCTTTCACACTCTCTAGCGCTTCAAGTGTTATTGTTTGTGCATCCCTCTGAAATAATTGCTGGGCCTGTCCACCAAAACTTCAGATATTAAGAACTGACTGGTTTAACTTTAAATATTGCCATCATTCCTCTTCCTCAAACTATACTTATACCTAAATTAAGATGCAAATATAAACCCCCCCTCCCAAAAACAAAGAACTCTTGCCCACACATACAAAACCCCTGGGTCACCAAACTTCCACAATAATATCACCACTGCAACAGTCAGCCCCAAAAAAAATACTAATACACCACTGCGTCTGGATAAGCTATCCAAGATTATCTATTTGATCAACATTAACATTTTTTTCAGTATTAGATATCGCTTAACTTAAAGTAGGTTTGAATATGAAAACTCTGTATTTATAAAATCATTGCAAGTAATAAGCATGTGCCCTGTAAAATTGGCTGCAAAATTTCAGTAACTTTTAGTAGAATGTAATGTACTATAGTTCTGTATTCTCAGATAATGGAAATCCGACATTGAAAGACCAATTTTTCGATTACCTTTTTCCAATTCATGTCATACCTTTATGAATTTCTAGTTTTCTGTTCTTGTTTCAATGCTGAAATTGAAGATAATTGGCAGATTGATGTCCCAACAATGGGCCGGTATGGTTTGTCTTCTTCATTACAAAGAATCAGTTCAAGATCCTGGGACCAAAATTTACTTTCATTTCTGGTTTGATGGGATGTTTTGTTGATCAAGTACTGCAGTAAACTATTTTAGAGCAGCAAATTTTGACAACATGTTTCAAGTATGAAGACACATTCACTGACGAGTCTAGTATGCCTAACAAATTAATTAATTGAAGCAATCAACTTAGTAACTTGGGAAAAGAATAGTGGCTGTAGCAACTAAAATCTGTCGAATGATTAGACTCCACCTTTTGGATTGAAATGAGCACGTCTACCTCAGTGTTGTCACCGGGCAAATTTCCTTGCGTGCAAGCAGCAGCATCAGCTTCTTGTTATAAGGTTAGAACAAGATAATATAACACTTCCCAAAGTCCCAATAATTTTTCTATATATCTGGTTTAGATTTCAGGGCCTCCTAAAGCAGCATAATCTAAGGTACAGCTTCTCCCCATGCAAAGTCTGAATAAAAAAAAGAAAAAGAAAAAAAGAAACTGCAGTTAGGATACAGAAATGTAGTCATGCAATAGCTACTCAAGTAATGTGTTGGCCAGTAATCCAAGAACAAACATGAAGGAGAACTCCTTCATTTCATTTCATTTCATTTCTGCAGTAACTCTCAAGTCTGCTGCTCATAATTAGCTCTTATACACATTGAAAGTTTCAAAATCATTTGCTTCCGTTTCTCTTAGGCGATGGTGTATAGAAATTGAAGGACAAGACATTCTACTGTGAAGCTGTGAGAGTATACTACTTCCACACTTCAGTTCCCACTCTACTAGTTCATAAAGAAACGAAGCCCATCAGAAGCTAGCAAAATGAATACTCAGCAAGTCTGCAATTCTGCCCACACATACAAAACCCCTGGGTGCACGCGACAAGTTTCCCCAATATTTTATTTGGCCCACCTTTGCACCCTAAAATTTGTGAAATCCCCTTCACCTTCTACATTGCCCCCCCTCCCTCTTTTCTAAAAACTAAAATCTCCACCACTATCATATCAACTTAAGTAAATAATCACACCTCAACAATAAAGAAGGTCAATAATTTTAGAAGAAAAACATTAACCTAAAGTTCTTCTAATGCCTAAATTCAACTTCCTAAATGAATTAAGCCATATATATAAATGAACAGACCGGGTATTTTACCGAAAAATTGGACTTCCTGGTTCCTCCACTCACATAGACAACAATGGTATACATATCTCGACTCCTACCAATAATTAAAAAGATCAATTGTTTCTCATCATAGCTACTGACAAGGGAATTCAAATGTCAGGGGAAGAGGAAAAAGAGCCGAAATCATTGCCCTAAATCTCTCCAAAAATATTCCATCCAAAATTCATATAAAAAAAACAACGTGGCTTAATGATTGGATATAGAAAAGTTCGTACCTGTTGATACTGAGGGAGGGAGTACACGGTAGGGACTGTAGCGGGAGCAGGATAAACGTGGGGAACCGCAGGAGGAGGAGCAGGAAATTGCAGAATTGAAGCGGCAGCGGCAGCAGCCACATAGGTTTGCGGCTGTTGTAGGTGAAACGGAGTCGGAAAGTACATGCCGGTAGTGTAGGTGAATTGAGACGACGCCGTTGAGGATGAAGAAGAAGCTGCAGTAGCCGATGTCGACGACATAGCGAAACCGCGAGATTTGAGAAGCGGGACCAAAAATTAGGGCTTCGTTGTTTTTCGTCCTTTTCAATGTCATGTTGTTCCATTTTCTGGTTTTGACGAACCTAAACCTGATGATGAGAGGGAAAGAGTAGGGGCGACGGGACGGCAGAGGTAGGGAGCAGAGGAGAGGAAAGTGGCCGAGAGAGGCAGAGGGCAAAAATTTAGGCAACCGAGAGAAATCAATTTAGGGCAAAAATTTATCATGGAATTACATCCCTTCAATGGGAAAGCAAGGATAGTTTGATTGCGGAGAGATTCAACAGGAAAACTTTGTGGGAAAGCAAAATTTTGGCCAAGAGTTTTGAGAGACAGTTTGCCGAGAGAAAGACTTTGTGCGAGAGATAAAGAAGAAGCAAAATTTCACTGGGAGGCAAAATGAAGTTTTGAGACTTCACTAAGTGTTTTGGCAAAGGAATCTTCCGCCAAAATCCAACGACGTCGTTTTGTGTTTTAATTTTTTTTGGTGTATCTCACATTTTCGTAAGTGTCATAATAGGGTGTCTAAAGGTACATTATTATTTTTATATCAAATAAAATAAAAAAAATTAGAGTATATATTATTGAGTTGATAACTAGTGTCATGATAGAAGTTTTATAATGGCACAAACCAGCAAGTGTCCTTATAGATATGTCAGGAAAGACCATTTTTGTTGTAGTGTGAATCAAAATAAGTTCCACAATTTGCAACAGCGCATTGATCATTAGGAAAAACATGAGTCTCATAACCCCATTCAAGAATAAAATCCAGTCTATCATCAAAATACGAAATTTTAGTAGTCATAAACTTTATAAAAAAAAATAAGAGAAAAATAAATTAAAAATGAAAACAAGGTGAACTAAAAAAGAAACAAATTAATCTGGCACCAGTCCCCGGCAACGGCGCCAAAAATTGACAGGTTGTCGGCCTGTGCAATAATAAAAACCTGGTCAAACTAAAAATAATTTCTGTAGATAGTGGTAAGCAGGGTCGAATCCACAGGGACTGGGCGTAATTGTTTCTTTCCAAATTCACAGTGACAAGGGGGGTATTTTTATATCAGAGGTGACAATTTAAGCAGTTCAACTAAAAGTAAAATAATAAAAATAAAATAGCCAACTAGAAATTAAATAACAATTACTAAAATCAAATGAGTGATAATTAAGGATCTAGCCAAGGAATAACTTCTGCAATGGTTCACCTAATTGATCATCGAAACAAAGGCAATTCTAATTATTTACTAATAAATAGGTTATAACTGCCAAACAAACGATGACAGTTAACCCCTCCTTACTGTGTCGATGATTAAAGTACGCCCGTTAATCACTGCTCTAATTGAGAAATAATTTTATGTACGCTCATAAGATTTAATTCCCCAATTACCTTACGTATTAGAGGAGTCCTATTCTAACCAAATAACGCACTACCAGGGTTATTTTAGATTAGCCCGCGTATTCCCCTGACACAAACCCAATCATGCCAGTTATCACTATTTTAAGACAATTAAACAATTACGGATTTAACGTCCCAATTGACAATAGATTATCAAATTAACTAATTATTCTGATCCAAGATAATCAATTAATTAAACAATCATAAGCACTGTAACCAGGATATATGCGAATATCAATAAATAAAGAAAAAAATAAAATTAAATCGATCTCATAATTTTAAATGACCCAAAGCATCCACTGTCCCTTGACTAGACAAAGAAAATTAGTTCAATCTTGATGCACAGAGCCCACGCAAAATTGTAAAGAAAGCAGCGGCCATGGTCTCCGATTTAGAGGACCCAATTCGTTCGAATCATGAAATGAAAAGCTAAACTACAAAAGAGATTGCTTGGTTCTAATGGTCCCTGACATCCGCAGGGAACAACTACTCAAAGACGGCCATGGAAAAGTCAAAGTGAAAAGCTAAAGGTAGTGCTTGTTCTCTGCTATCTAATAGTTCCCCCTTTTAATGGCCTTAGCTATTTCCTATTCTTATTGCCACTCATCCTGTGCGGCGGCTCTCAGGGCAAAGAAAATTTCAGCCGTCCTCTCCTCTTCAGTAATTATCAAAATGGGCCAAAGTTTTTCTTTGCCAACAATGCCCCTGGGGTAAGCTCTGCGACTTGGACTCTTTTCCTGTCAAATTGACACTTGTTTTCATATTTTTGTTCTACTCCCTGAAATAAATAAATGCAAAATACTAAAAGTGAGTAGAATCCAACAATTAATCCACACCAGATCAGGTAATAGGGAAAATTAATAATATATTAAATAGTAAAATTGCAATCTATCAGTTAAGGACATTTGACGAAAATTCAATAATGACAAAGAGTTAAAATCAAATTACCATTATTTAATAGTTTTGACTTTGCTCTTTTAGTCCCTATTGTTTGAAATTTTGATCATTTTAGTCGCTTAAGTTTTCATTGGTGATATTGAGCGTATTTGGATAAAATAAGATGTGAATTACGGCGCAATTGTCTTAAATGGCTACTAACGATTCTAATTAAACTTTTTATTTTTTATTTCATTTATTCATGTCACTAATGTCTCATATACTTCTTCCTTTTTGCATAATCGGTCTCAAATTTGGTATAATATACATAACTATTGTTTTATACTATTAGTGATTAATTGATAATTAACCGTAAAGAGTAAAAACACTTCATATTGGTATTTATGTTACTATTTTTATAATTACAATTCCTAACTCTAACAAATTAAGGACGCTATGCACAATTCATGCAAGAACTTGTGTAGTAGACTAGTGTGAATGCTAATAAATTTTATATTAATACTAGAATTCTCCTTTTCTTTTTATTTCATATATTATGTATATATATTGTCATCCGATTGTAACTTATTCAAAAAAAAAAAAAAACTCTTTAAGTTCAACAATGCTATTGTGTTGACATAAAGTGTTTTTATGAAATTTTATAGGGATTTATGAAGGCATTTGCCACATCTTTAATTCAATTCACTTTGTTTTTTCATTTTAAAGCCCCTGGCTATAACTACTGGAAACTAAAGGGACCATATTAATCGAAACTTCAAACATTAGGAACTAAAAATGTAAAGTCAAAATCAAAAACTTTGGAGAATAGATTTATTTTGGCTAAAACTGTAAAACATATGGGACTAGTTTGATATACAAGTCAAACATTGAGTACCAAAACCGTGTTTCTCCCTTTGGAAAAATTTGAATAGTAGTAATAGAAAGATTTAAAATTGTTAAACAGATAGAAGTTTTGGCAAATTCTTATATTCCTAAAATATAATAAAGCACATGTCATAATCAAAATTACCAAATTAACCTATCGAACCAAGCAAACTCCCACTCCAATCATCGGATCCCCAAATTCCCTTTCTTACTCATTATGAGAGGGAATTGAATTAGCACCAAAATCTGAGGCAATCCTTCCCTTATTTTGATTTAAATGAAATTAAATTTAAACCTATAGTTTGCTACTATATTCTTTTGTACCCAAACAGCCTTTTGACCTTTACCCAAAAAACTACAAGTTATTTTCAGCTTGATTAGAATTATTTCAAGTAATCATGAAAGTCAGGTCGCATGATCCATTTTGTTGTCCAGGTTCTATTTTTCTTTTTTAGTTTTTTATTCTAATCATAAAAAATGTTCATAATCGCAATAATACTATGATTGATCATGGAAGTATATTGTTCGGATTGCATTTTTTAAAAGGGGTTTTTTAAGAAACAAATTATTGTAACACTTTTTTCAGATGTGATGTATATGATGTAAAAAAATCATTGAAAAATGTATCAAGGAAATATTCCCAAAAAGCATGAGATTTTTGTCCAGAGAATGGCAATCCAGAAAAGCTAGAATATTGGCATACTATTGCAAATTGACCTCTTTTCTACAAATATATTTTTTTATAAGTTAAACTATCAAAAAAAAAAAAAGATCTCTAATTAAAGTATTGAATTCTTATGTTCAAACTTGTAACATATATGCTTCTAATAAAAAAAATAATGAAAAAGATGAATCTTTGAGTTAGCTTTCCAATGCTTCAAGAATCATCCAAATCGGAGCTTTGTACCCTGAGATATGATCGAAATACTGTCACCTGTTCAAACCTCTGTTTTAACTTCCGACCACAGAATGCAGCTTCTGTATTCCAACGTTTTGCCCATGAAGATGGCAGAAATGGATTTCGATGTCTTCATACGAATTGTAGGTCTCTTTCTTAGCTTTAAAATGGTATAAAGATCACCTCAATCCGATAAGTGTAGCTCCAGATATGGTCAAAATACTGAAGAGTGTCAAAACTGACTTGAAGTGCAATTATTCATTTGAACGTTTTTCACTTCATTTTTCTTTTCACCACTTAATTTCATCACCAAATCTCTATTTTTCACCTCATTTGCCATCCTTTGGTGATTGAGTCATCATTCCTGCATAAAAATGAAGGTTTTACCATTAAAATCACTAAAAATGCAATATTATCCACTTTTACCAAAAATATATAATTTTACCAAAAACCTCTTTATTTTATTTATAAAACTAAATAATCAACTCAAAATTAACTAATAAAATGCACTTAAAAATACGTAAAATAAACTCTTATCAAATATTACCTATGGAAGATAGAAGCAATCGATAAAATTAAGGAATTCTTCTAGACTTGTGGTTTTCAAATATCATATTGATTTCCTCCAGTTTCATGTGATCTAGTAGGCCCTTGCAATCTTAGTCTTTTGCCATTGCAAGAAAATGTACAGTGGTAGGGAAAGAATGGTTTTGGTAGTGAAGAAAAAGGCAAAGGAACTCTTTGATAGCAACCGTGAAACCTAAGGGGAATAGCCGTAGTTCACGTGTAGACAAAACTGATTAATGGGCAATATTGCCCTTTTACCCAGTAAAAGAAGAGAAAGAGTGCGTGAGACCTTTTTTCGGGGAATGCTAATATTATTTGCCTTTTGAAAACTCCTTTAAACCATTGATAGGCATAACTAACCCATGACCACAATCTCATCGTCCATTTCTTCAAAAGCATCTTCATTGAATTTTTT